TGTGCTGCTTTGCATCCGCCACTTCCAAAAGCCGAGCTTTAACCAATGCTGGTCTATTATTCCATGCAGGCAGTGGCGTTGCCAAGTTGAGTACCGCCCCCAGTTTGGGATAAGATCCCCCCCTCCCCCCCAACCCACCGCCCGGCCATGAAAGAACTCTGCGGATAACCGAAAATTCCGTCCCTAACATATAGAAAAAGTGCCGCTTGGGCTGAACGGCACCGACCCCCCACCCCCTCCCCTTTTCCATGGTGATTCCATGTTACAGGGTTCAATGTTAATATTGAAACAGCTATTTTACAAATTAAGGACACATTGAAATGAACACAATTCGATTATTGCACTTTTGAAGTTTAAACTTTTTTAGTATTGATTTTTTTTTTTTTTAAATATACTTTGCATTGGCTTACTTCCCATTTACATTAGCTTAATTCCCATTTACAATGGCTTACTTCTCATTTGCATTTACTTACTTACCATTAACATTGGCTTACTTTCCATTTACACCAAGGTGTGTTGTAATTCGTGCTCGCATGATCACATTCCTGCCCTTTACAAAATTAAAATAAAATCATTGTGCTTTTTAAATGAAAATTATTTTTTATTGTTTATGTACGGTAAGCTATGCCAAACAGAGTTAAAATGGTAATTACAGATTTATGCCATACTGCATATTAGAATGGTAACTACAGAGTTATGCCATACTGCATGTTACAATGCTAACTACAGAGTTATGCAAAACAACATGTGAGAATGGTAACTACAGATTTATGCCATACTGCATGTGATAATGGTAACTACAGATTTATGCCATACTGCACGTGATAATGGTAACTACAGATTTGTGCCATACTGCATGTGATAATAGTAACTAAAGATTTATGCCATACAGCATGTGATAATGGTAACTACAGATTTATACCATACTGCATGTTAGAATGGTAACCAGAGATTTATGCCATACTGCATGTAATAATGGTAACTACAGAGTTATGCCTTACTGCATGTTAGAATGGTAATTAAAGAGTTATGCCATACTGCATGAATATTGATTTTTTTTAAAAACATTTTTTAAAAAAAATATACTTATGGTGAATAGGTTCATTGTGAGGAGAGAACAAATAGAATACATTATTATTATTTAATTTAATAATTTTTTGCTCATCATATCTCAAAGGACTGTCTTGCTTTTGGATAAGTCAACAAATCAATAGACATTTCATTTCTCATTAAATCTGTAAAGTGGGGCTGATTAAGGACCGTCCATAGATTTCGTCACGTTATTTTTGGACAGTTTTATCCCCCCCCCCCACCTCCATGTCACAATTTGTCACAAATCNNNNAAATTTTCACAAAACCCCCCCCCCCCCCCCCCCCCCAAAAAAAAGTGCGTCACACTTAGGAACTTTTAAAAAAAAAATGTAATGATCAACTAAATAAAAATTTAATAACAAACACAACTATAAAACTATTAAATTTATAAAAATGAAATCTGCCATCAGAATACATCTGTCACAACAGAAAGTTAAAAATCCCTGTTAATTTCAGGTTTTATATGTGTGATTTAATACATATTATATATATAGCTTTAAATATGGTCTTAACATCTAAACACCACCTGCCCACTCATAAAAAAAATAAATAAATAAATAAATTTAAAAAATCACAAACTGTTACACCTTCTTAGCACACCGGCACATCTTTTCCGAAGGGTGACGCAGGCCTACTTTATGGAAGACCCTTTAAAAATTATTTCCCAATTTTGTCCAATGTAAACGTCCCAATTTAAATTAAGTGCATCGTATGTCATATTTGTTAATGCAAGCTATGATGAAATTGAATTTTGCTTGACGTAATAATTATTTGGAAATTTTAGGGTTTGATTTGAATTTGTATTTATTTAAGATTCCCCTACCCAAATTTGATTTCAGCTTTTGACCGCTTCTAACTGACGTTTAATAAATTGGGAGACTAAACAAATTGTGAGTTGTCTGTGCTTGAAGAGTTATTCCCATGCCTATTATCTTATATTGTTTTCCTATTAATTATTATAGATAAATTCGATATCTATACTAACAAAATTCCTTCAATGTAAGCATTAAACTGTTGATTATATTCGGCTGTAATCAGAGGCGTAACGAGGGTGTTTGTTGCCCGGGGACAAGATTCGCGCCCGGAGACAAGATCCATTTTAAAGCGTCCCTTTTTCTTTTTTTCAACTCTCAAACCCATTAATTTCATCAATAAAATATTATGAAAGCACATGTTGGCGCCCCTGACTAGCTGGACATCTGCCCCTCCCCTGCCCCCCTCTCTACGCCTCTGGCTGTAATTTTACATAAAAAGCACACACTGTAAATGCAACAGCAATATACAAAAATTGTAAAATATTTCATAAGATATAGTTGTAAACAAAGTTTTGATTATTTATGTTAAGGGCCATATCGCTAACATAGCAGCACTGAACAGTGTTAACATTTTGTCTGACCTGAGTACCCGGATGATTACAGCAGTTCTATTAATGTTTCCGCCATTAAATGACTATCCTATAGTTTTCAAACAATAACCCTAGATCATTTCAACAAGTCTAAATCTAAATGTTTCTCTTATTTTCAAAACAAACTGATTTTTTTTTTTTTTT